ATAGAACTTCTAAGTTGAAACAAAAGTCACTTTTTTTCACTAATGTACCTTTGGGGGCAATTTCCTACTAGAAAATTTTCACTATAAAAACACTATAGTTGTATAATATTTGTATCGATTCTTTAAAAACAATATTCTTATCCTGCTGGACGCATCTGAGCTTTGTTTCAGAAGTATGATGAAGGGTCGGTAATGATGCTCTTTGATCTTCTTGCTGTAAATTTAGAATGCTGGTGCTTTTATTATGCTGTCTTTGCAGCTTTAGGACTGCAGATGCTCCTCATGTCAGAGTCAGTTGCTTCTGTAGGTAACCACTGATGCCTGTGACTAACAAGTCCCCAGGAAGGGTCAATTGCTGCTCTGAATCTACTCTGTTACCACACATTAAGTGTAGTAAATGCTGTTTAAATGTTTTATCAGCAGCGCAACACCGTTTATGCAGGTACTAATCGTTGCAATGAATGAGAATGGGTACACGGATGGTAAGTGGCTGGCTGGATCAGTGGCAGTTCTCTGTGGTTGTGGAACAGATCATCTACAATCTTAGTGACTTAAAGAAAAGCCATTCATTTTTCTTGTGAATCTGCATTGAACAGCCTCTGTGAGATGAGACAGCTCATCTCTATTATACGCATCAGTGGAGGTGGCTTAACTGAGAGCTGGGAGATGGGATTCCAAGACGGTATACTCACATGTCTGGATAAATTGTTACTGGCTGTTGGCTTGGGCTTCTGCAACTGATATGAACCAGGCCCTTGGTTTTCCTTGTGCCTAGGTTTTCCTTTGTATGCTTGCTGGGTCCCTAAGGCTAACAATCCCTGAGAGGACACACTAAGAAGAAGGTATAGTGCCCTTTACACCCTAGCCCAGAAAGTCATACATATCACTTAGATTAATGGTTCTCCACCTTCCTAATGCTATGACCCTTTAATACAGTTCCTCATGTTGTGGTGACTCCAACCATAAAATTATTTTTGTTGTTACTTCGTAACCATAATTTTGCTACTGTTATGAATCATAATGTAAGTATCTGATATATGACCCCAATGAAAGGGTCACTCTGTCCTTGAAGCGGTTGTGTCCAACAGATTGAGAAACACTGACTTACACCATCTCTATTACAGGCTTGCTCAGCCTCAGCACTGCTGACATTGTACATTATGGGATGTTTAGCAGTAGCAGCACTGTCTTCATTAGTTACAACCCTTTGTCTCTAGATGTTGCCAAATGTTTCCAAGGGAACAGATATTCATGGGTTCAAATCATTGGTATTGTTTGCTATAGATACAAATGTCTTCCCAGATTCAAGGAAACTCAAGATACAGAAACATGCTTTTGCATGTATGACAAGAAATGTAATTATTTTTGTCAGGTAGGCATTTTCACTATTATGGACTGATTTTTGTCTTCCCAGTTTACCCATGAAACACTAATTCTCAAAGTGATGGCATTTGAGTATTGCGCCTTTGAATGTCAATTAGGTATTGAAGGTTAGGTATTCATGAGAAGAGATACCAGAGAGCTTGCTTATATTACCTGTTCCTTTCTGTTTCTCTGTCTCTATTTCTTGGTCTCTGTCTCTCTTTCATGTAAGAACACAGCAAGAAAGTGTTCTACTAATAAGGAAATGGCCCTCAGAAACTATTGACATGTTGGTCTTAGACTTCTTAGCCTCTAGAAAAACTGTGACAAATAAATTTCTATTGTCCCAGATTCCCAGTCTAGGGTATTTTGCTATAGCAACCTAAATTAAATAAGATTTTTAAAGGGTATAAAAAGAATGTACGTGAATTTTGTTAGTATTTTCTATGCCAATTATTTGAAATGTTCCCAAATTGTAGTATTGACTTTAGTTGGAGAGAATTTCTCTCATTTCTCTTTATCAAGTAAAGACCATAATTCATTCTCATTCTATTGCCTTGACATTTTGATGTCTTAGTCATGAGGCAGTTATTGAAGTACATCTAATTAATACAATAAACAATTTGCATTGTAATCCAATAGATTGGACAGTTTACTTGTTCCTTATTCCCAGGATATAAATTCATAATGTATTGATATACTATCATTTAATTAAGTTTTCAATCTTCAACTATTTAATTTTGCTTCCAGTGATTAAGGACTAAATTTCTTTCTTTCTCTCTTTCTCTCTTTCTCTCTCTTTTCTTTTTTGTTTACACTTTCAAATTACATTTATTTACTTATATATTTGCTATGTGTATGTGTAGATATCCTTGTGCCAAAGTATGCATGTGTTGATCAAAGGGCACCTTGAGGGAGTCAGTCCTTTCCTTCTACTATTCGAGTCCCGGGGCTTGAACTTGGGTCCCGAGTCTTGGCTGAAAGCACCCTTACCTGCTGCGTCAGTGTGCCAGCCCTCCGTTCTACATTTCTACTGCTGTATCACAGAGTGGACCTTCTTACTGTTCTGTGAACAGTGCAACACATGTGCTCACAGATGTTTCTATTGTGTAACATCAATATAAAACAAGCGTTTAGATGTCCATCTTCATATTGACAGAAATTCTGAAGTTTTCAGAATCCTAGTTTAAGTCATTAGAAGTAGCAATTTAAAAAAACCAGGGCTTAAAGCTTTGCTCAAAACTATTTTAAATTATCATTTAGAAGGATTCCCTCCTACAGATCCATCCCATAAAAATGCCCTAAATCATTTCCTCTATAATCCTTCCAGTACTACCATGACAACCCCCTAAAGAAGGTTTGGAGGGCTATGGAATGTGGGCTTTTCATTCTCAGTTTCATTTTATAAAAAGATCTTAAAGGATATGACTTCATTTGAAAATTTGTAAAGACTTTCCATAAAATCCTATCTCATGCCTTTGAAAAATAAGACTGCCTAACATTTTCTGAGTATATATTATGTGACTGTTTCACTGAATGCCCACAAGACCCCATTGAGGTACCTACTATTCTGATCCCTATTTTGCAAACAGGAAACATGTATTAGATCACTCACTTCCTTGTTAGTAGTAGAGCCCTAGTAACCCCAAGGAATGTAACACTATGGCCTGTATGTCTGACCACTGTTCTGGACTTCCAACAGTGACGACTGACTGTCTACATTGTACAGCCTTATTGGACTTATGGTTGGGGTGGCATAGAAGCATTTTTAAAAATCCATTGTCATCTACTGCCCAGAACACTGTCTGTATCCTTAGTGGCTTAAAACAATAATCATTTCTCAGGGACAGCAGAATTGGTGATCTTGACTGGGCTAACTCATGGATCCACAGTCATTTGCTGGAAGAGCTTCAAGATGGCCTCAACTCACCTCAGGTGTGAGTTGGCTCTCACATGGAGCATCTTAATTTCCTTTTACACGGTTTAGCCTATGTTTCTTCTAGCATGGTGGAATCCACACTCCAAAGGTCTGAGTGCTGGATCTGCAAGACCCTTTGTGGCTTAATACTCATCTAGGACTTCTACATTTCTGTTGTCATAGTCTATTGGTGAGTAGTCACAGTTTCCTGACTCTTGATGGGAAATATGGCAATATAACATTGCAAGGAGGTATAGACACAGGGTAGCATCCGTCTTTGGAGCAATTGTTACAGTGGTTTATTAAACTCTGCTGGCTGTATATTGCTATGTAAGAAGCCATCCCCAAATACAGAAGTTTACAGTAACAATGTCTTTACTCACATATGTGTAGGTCAGGGACTCAGGCATGTCTTGATGAAAATGGCTCTTCTCCACTCTACCTGGTGCTGAATGGGACACATGGCTTACAATGTTTGGTGCTGTGGGACTTGAGATGGTCCCACATGGCATGTCAGTGGTATGTCCATCTCTGGAACATTAAACAAGACAATTCAAAGGACTATAGACTTGCTGGATTCTTTTCTTGTGGGAATGGTATGGTTCATGCACATGCCAGAAGCCTTGATTTTCTTTCATGTGATCCCTCCTTCTGGGTGGTTTCTCCTCTAGAACCTGTCTTCATGACTTCTTTCCATGGCAACCAGGTTCTGAATGAGCAGAAGCAGACATCCTCAGATCTCAGAAGGCTCAGGGACAGAACAACAGTGCCACTCCCTTCCTTCTCTTTGGTCCAAAGCAAGCCACAAGGTCACCCCACAGTCCATGGCAGTCACGTAAGCTTTGTCTCTTGATAAGAGAAGGCACATGCATGTGTGGAGATGAGCAGGACTGTTGAAAGCCGTTCTTATAGGCAATGCACCAGAGTGTTTGAGCAAAGGTGAAAAACTGAGCAGTTGGTGTCAAACAATGAGTCTGGGCTGGTGGCTACCCAAGCAGAATTGCAGTTAACAGCCGAATGATTGATTCAATGTAGGAAGAAGCAGTGCATTTTAGAAAATACAAATATTTCCTTCCAATAACAAATCAAGCAGCAGGAGACAATCTAAGGTCGGTGATGAGAAAGTAGGGGGAGTATGTCCTGCAAATGGCATTTTCATTCTAGACGGCCGTGAATGGTCAAACAGAAATGTCGGGAACCTCTGCAGCGAATCGAATGTTCTGCAGTCACATAGCAAGCACCAGGTCTTCTCCAAAGGCAGTTAGTCCTGATCAGATAAACGTGGGATTTATCCTCCCACTAAAGGGATGAGATCATAAAATGTCCCTTCCATCACCGAAGCTTGGGAAGGACCCAGAAGCAGATGGCCAGGCAATATGGAGACTCTAATTAAGGAGAGAAAGCTGCAGGGCCACCAAAATAGATGGAGACATTGTCCCTCAGCAGTTGCTAAGGCGGCTGTGGGCATCCCCGGATTGTTTTGGAGGAGCATAAAGCCTCGTTTTTGTGCCAGCATTATTTATACACTTCACATGGAATCCTGCTGCTTCCAGTGCTTTCTATTGTGTTTATTTATTTATTTATTTATTTATTTAAATGCTTGTTTTGTGATGCTTGGGACTGAATCCCGGGCCCAAGTGCAGGCTAGGCAAATGCTGTACCATCACTGAGGTATACCCCGACTCTCCTTTTATTGTTTTAATCTTTCCACATAAAAGTATTTTTTTTCTTTTTCTTTTTAAAGGAATTGAAGAGCTGCTGATAGTCATGGCCTTGGCAAAAATGAAGGTAACAAAAGTTAATAATTTTATGCTTTTAGTATTTCTGGGCTTTTCATGTAGACCCTCTCTATTCCTGTGGGTTAGTGTTACCATGGCAACAGTAATAGTAATAATAAATGACTGATATTTAAAAGAAATATTTAATGTTTTCATAGAGTATTTACATTTATCATTAATTTTAATTAATGTCTTACTTAAGTTTCTCTGGTACATCTGGGTTTCCTGCAGATCATGGACCTCTGGATAGGCTGTGAAAAATCAGAAACTGGAAAACATAAATGATGTCATCCTTGCTTCAATTTTCTTATAATTATTTGGACATTTTGTTATTTCCTTCTCTAGTTTAAAGGTTCACTATTTTTAGTGAAAAGCAAAATACATTGTATTTGGGAGCTGCAACTTAATTAGAACTCATAAATGCTAATTTTGTTCTTCTCCTAATGAGAGTCATTACTTACAGTCCCCATATGTGCCCCCATTAGCACACAAAATGAAAAGTGGTGGTGTTCCTGGTTAATTAGCCCTAGCATTTAAAATGTGTGTTTGATGATTGTTTAGTGTTGTTGAACATCAGTACACATCAGCAGGTTCACTTGCAGGTACTAGAGTTTGGATGTTAAGTACTCCCCAAAGGCCAAGTATTAGATGCTTGGTCCCAGGTGGCAGACTTTAGTAGACTGTAGGCTTCTGAGGGAAAGGCTCTAAATGGCCTAGGGGATCCCACCCCACTCTTCCTCTTTTGAGGCAGGAGACAGCGCTTCTGTTTTGCCTCATGCTTCCCATGTGCTACTTTGCTGCAGGCCTGAGAGGGATAGAGCCGAGGAACTGAGTAGGACTTCTAAAACCGAGGTGAAGGCAGCCTTTGTCTTCCCCAGTTCACACCCCAGGGATTTATTTAGTGGAGTGTTGGAAAGTTGAAAGAAGAAAGAAAAAGGAAAGGAAAGGACATGCTTCTAGGTGTGGTGGAGGAGAAAGTTTATTGTAGATAAGGGGAGAGTGTAGGTAGGGACAGGGACATCTGAGAGAGTCCAGAGTGGACCAGACTGAGCTCAGTCATGTGGGGAGACTGAGAGGGGAAGAGAGGGGAGCGAAGGAACCAGATGCAGCAGCCAGGAGGCCCAAAGGTACAAAAAGGGAGATAACAAAAATGTCTGGATTATTTAGGGAAGAGCCCCTGGGGGAAGGGCAGCCCAGCTTCCGGGCTAGAGAGCTCAGAGTACAGGGCTGGGTATGCCAGCCATCCGCTGTAACAGGTAAATAGGAACCTTAGCGCCCCCCTCCCTCCCGCATTGGAGAATTGTACCTGCCATTTCCTGAGTGGCCCTCTCTGGGTAGGGCGTGGAACTGCTACAGAGTATGGCTGTCCTGACAGGCTACTGACAAGGAGGAATGTTTGTGTTACAGGAATAGGCCCAGGACAGATTCTGATTTTGAGGTTCTGAAGCTGTGCCCCGCGCCTGTGTAGTAAGGTACCTGGAAGCCATGCTGACTTCATGGCCAGTGACTTTTTCCCGGGCTCCATGCAGTACAGAGTTGCACTGAGGAGGCACAGCAAGGTTGTTGTTTGTGGACCATAGTTGACTAGTACTTTGTTTTTAATTTTAATTTCCAAATGTTCATCACAGTTCCCATGGAGCGGGTAGAAAACAGGGATGACAATTGCTGTACTTTGCAGGTCACATTTGGACAGAAAGTGGAACGATGTGAAAACAAAAGGGAAAATCGGAGTCTTTGTGGTGCCTGAGTTTTTCTGCATAGAATTTTGTTTTTTAAAAATCGGAAATCTAAATCACAGCAAATCACTTTAAATGGCAACTTGATTGCATTCTGGACACTTACTAGAGTCTCACACTTAAAATGAAATGTCAGCTTCCAGAGGAGGCAAAGTAATGCAGTCCTAAATCACACACAGCCTGAGGGCTGGGGTGGGTAGGTATGGCTGGATTTCCTCACTCTCTCAGGTCAAAGGACCTGGGATAGAGTGGGTTGTCTACCCAGCAAGCCATGAGCTTCAGGTCTCTGTTCTCTGTGTGTGTGGGATGGAATACTCTGTGGCTGTCTGTCAAACCCTTTGGATCTGTGGCACGACTTGACCTGGAATTCCTTTGTTGATTTTATCATTTGGATGATTTATTCATGGATGCAGTGGGTATTGAGATCACCCATTATCACTGCGTCGGGACCTGTTCTTGTCTCCTTTGTGCAGTGCTTGTTTTGTTAACTGGGGTGTGCCCATGCTCCGTGCGTATGTATTTGAAACGATTCTGTGTTCTTGGTGGTGCTTCCCCTTTGTTACGCGGTGACCTTCATGATCTTTTCTGAGTAATTTTGGCTTGAGGTCTACTTTATCAGATTGGTCAGAACTAGTCTTGCATTGTTCGGCTTCCATTTGCATGCTATAGTGAATTGCATCTTTTCATATTCTGTGTGTGTGTGTGAAGTTTCTTTAGTCAACGATAATTGGATCTTGCTTTTAAAAAGTTATTTATGTTTTAAAAACAATTTAACTTTATTCCTCAACAATTTCATACATATATACAATGTATCTTGATTATATTTATCCCAAACTCCCCTGTTGTTAGAATTCTGCCCTCACTCCAGCTACATGACCACACATGCGCAGTTCAGGAGTTAAGCAAAGGGTCTTGTGTCTTACGTCACTAGTATGCGCTGGTGATCACATACTCGACGTAGTCACACAATCTGCGCATGTGTAGCAGGCTCTGTAAGCCCATCTGAGAATTAAAGAGCCGGGACTCAGACCCCACCCTCTCTCTCTTTATTCTGGTCTCTGCCCCCCACCATCGTCCCTCTCTCTGCACATGCTTTCTTCCCCAGGCCTGGTTCTCTTCTCTCTCCCCTCTTCCTAATAAAGCTCTAAAACTAATACTGGGTTCTGTCGTGACCATGACCTTTCCATTCGGTAACCAGTGCCACAACCAGCACTGCTTAATTTCACCTGTCCCTCCAGGAATTCCCCCAACCCTAAAATGTGCCTCCCCACCACATTCATGTTCTCTTTGGTTTTTGTTTGTTTGTTTTTTCTTTTTCTTCAATAACTCATGTGTCCAGTTGGGTGGGTGCATATCATTCATTTGGAAGAAATTTGTAGCCACCCTTACTTCTATTTCTTGGCTTCTTTATTCCTTCTTTGCAAATTCCAAGTGCTCATGGCATGCCTCGAGCTACCTCATAGTGGCTGGATTGCAGCTGGTTTTGTAATTTTTTTTTTTTTTTAAATCTCTTTGCTTGTCAGTTTAACAAGTTTCTGCTAGTTTGCTTCTGAACTATGGATTCTTTCTTTGGCTGTGTCTAGCCTTCCAGGGAGGCTGTCAAAAGTGTTCATTTTTGATGCTGCAGTTTTGATATGCAGCATGTATTATTGATTCTTTTGTTGTCTTTCCAGCTCTTTGCTTACATTCTGATCTGTTCTTAAATGCTGTCTAGGCTGGGTGTGGTGGTGCAACGCCTTTAATCCCAGCACTTGGGAGGCAGAGGCAGGCGGATTTCTGTGAGTTTGAGGCTAGCACCTACAGAGAGAGTTCCAGGACAGTCTCCAAAACTACGCAGAGAAACCGTGTCTCAAAAAACAAACAAACAAACAAACAAACAAATAAACAAACAAAATGCTATCTACTTTTTCTTTTAGTCATTAAAATATTACTTATAGTTATTTTACATTTCCTATCTGATCATTCATTCCCAAAAGGGTATCATTTCTGATTCTGTTTCTGATGATGTTTCATCTTATCAGACTTTATACTTGGGATTTTAGCATTACTTACTCTGTAATTATTACTTTTATAAAGTATGTGTGTTCTCGGAAATGTTGTCCCCCTCCTCTGGGCAGGGTCTCTCACTGGCCTGGAGCTCACCGATTAGGCCAGACTAGCTGACCAGTGAACGCCGGGAGCCATGTGTGTCCTACTCCCCAGCCCTGGGATTACAAGCCTGTGCACCAAGACCAGCAGTTTCCTGTGGGATCTGTGGCTAGAACTCCTCATTGCAAGGCGAGTGCTTTGCCACATGAGCCATCTCCTCAAAGCCCCTTTGTGGTGGTTGTTTTAAAAGCCTTACATGATGCATATGATGATAGGAAAGAAGGTTAAAAAAAAGCCTTAAGTGTGAAGCATAGCGTTAATCTAGTCAGGAGTTGCTGCAGCTGTGTGAACCGGGGCAACAATGAGCCACTCCACGTCCTTGGTTTTTGTCTCCCCTTTTGTTTAAACTTTCTTCATTTCTGGCCCTTGCCGCTCTTTCCACTGCAAGTTATGTTGTTATGCTGGAGCCTTGTGGGGGTAAAGTGTCAGGAGTACTGTGTAATCATGTGACCTAGGTTATGACCTCACACACGGTTTCGGCTCCTTTTTCCCATCTTTAGGGGAAACAGAAAGTCCAGAGGGAGTGATGTTGGGTAAACATCCTTTCACAGTGCAGACAAGGTTCTGGAGAGCCTTTGACTAGAAAGTAGGCCTTCGTCATAGGACTTCTATGGGGTTTAGGCATAGTTTAAATGGCTACCATTTCTATCCTCTTGCTGAAGATGGGAGGGGATCTTCCCTGGCTCATCACTGGGAGAACTCAGTGGGATTCCTAGAATAGAACACCTATAAGGGTTTCCCCCAACGTTGGGATTCCAGGAAGGGAAAACCACACAAATGTAAGGGTTCCACCATACTCTGGCCCTGGAATTTTCTCACTCTCATTCCTAAACGTGTTCCTGACTTTGTCGGTTTTTGCTTCAGGCCAGCAAACCTGGACTGTGAGTCTCTGAATTTATTCATCTCTCCAGATTTTAATGTGACAGTTGGCCCTGTTCACAATTCTTCCTTGTGTCTAAAGTCATTGATTTTCTGTTTACATTTTGCTAGTTAAAAGGACAGAAGTGGCAACGTCCCAACTTTTTACACATTGTAGATGAAGGTAGAAATTCTGTAATACCCGTTCTTGGGGGACTACTTTCCTGGATTTATAGATGAGGAGGTTTACAGTGGGTCTCAGTGACCTGCAAAGGTCCACTCCAATTACCCAACTTAGAAATGGTGGAATTAAAACTTTAGCTCTTCCAACTTCACATTTAGAGCTCTTTCTCTCGTATTCTAGTTATTGCATAATTTCTTCATTCTCAGAAGTTTCTGGCAGAGCTAGCTTACAGAACTGGCTGATTTAGGGGATGCATCCATGAGGCATTGTAAGAGGCTGCAATTTCTTCTGGCTGAAGGCAAACTAATTTGATTCTCATTAATCCAAACTCTCAAGTAATTAAAACTCCTTCTTTCACGTTGTTTTCAGTTACCCCAGTGCTTAAGTTCCTTAATATAACCAAGTCCCCAAGGCTGTTTTTGTTGTCGATTTTTGAGACAGGGTCTCAGGTCAGTGAGGCCTGCCTCTGACATACCATGGCCAGTCTTGAGCATCCTGCCTTCAGTTCTGATGACCACAAGCTTGTGTCACCGTGCCTGGATTTTTGTTGTTATTTTGAGATAGTGTCTCCCTCTGTAGCCCAGGATGACCTGGAATTTGCAGTGATCCTCCTGCCTCAGCTCTCAAGAGCTTGAATTACAGGTGTGAGCCATCACATTAAGCTAAGGCTGTGGATTTTAAGCTTCAGCATTCCATTAATAAGCAGCTCCTAAAACAAATTTAGTGTGTCTCTGAAAAATTTAAAAATATGTACTTCTAGAATAGCATAGAGAATCCAGTCGCCTAGTGAAATACTCTTTTATTACATGTGTTTAGTAACTATGAATTTCGATATAAATTTCCATTTTTTTATGTAGATAAGCATTTGCTGGATTGTAATACAAGATGTGCTTATTGCTATGAGCTGTGCTGCTCTAAAGCTTGAAGGTATTGGCCCCAGGAAATGGAGGAGATGATAAAACAAAACCCCACTTTAAAAAGAGCACACAAACTTAAGGAAATTTAACTTACCTTTTTATGAATTAATTCTAAAAGTGAAAAAAAAATCTTATTTGCCAGTTAACACAAGAAAATATTTAAAAATTCATGGGAAATTAAGTTAAATTTTTGTTGTTGTTTTTTCACTAGATATTTGATGATTTTGAAAACTTGTGGCTTGTTGGTTTGAGTATGTATTATTTGGAAGATAAATGTCTGTAGCCAGAATTTTGTGTCTTGAGATGCTAAAAAATTAGACTTGAGAAATTTGACTCTTTTCTGATGCCAAATTATTCTGCATTTAGTGCCCAAATGTTCTGTTAATGAACTGTTTATTACCACTTCTGTAGAGCTAAGTCTATGGCCTCAGCTACAGCAATCTTGGTTGTCAGCCATTAATTCATGTCTTCTTTTTAGTAATGTTTAACTTTCTTTGAAATGAGAGCTTACTACGTAGCTCAGGCTGTCTATGACCCCGTGATTATCTTGTCTCAGTCTTCTGAGTTCTGGAATTGTCCCTGACCCACTGATGTTTGATTTTTTTTTTTTATAAGATCTACATAATTCTCAAAATGTAAGTTTCTGACAAACTGTTCTTTTTGCTGCAGCTCTTCCTGTAGTCCGCCACTAGAAATAGCATCTCTACCTTCGTCCAGGTACGTTTCATTTTTTAGACCCTCTAGAGACATTTAGGCGTGGTTTGTGAGTTAGAGGCTTTTGTGCTTGGCATATGCATGGATCCACTGGCCCAGGATGTGGTGAAGCAGGGTTTCCATTGGACAGCTGAACCTCTTTGCTACAGCCAGAGTGACATACAAGATCATCAACTTGGAGAGTTGCCTGATGGGAATGGGAGGACTAGGTAATTCTTGTTTCTACTTGGGTATAATCTTGGTTATAAAGAGACTCCATTTAACATTAAAAAAAAACAACAAAAAACAAAAACGGGGTCTCTGATAGCCCAGGCTGACCTCAAATTCCCTATATAGCTGAGGATTACCTGGAACTCTTAACCCTTTTTTTGTTTCCCTCAACTGAAGGGATGGCAGGCATGTGCCCCCACACCCAGCTCTATTTTAACTAATTACACTTTTAAGTATTTATTTGAAAAAAAAAATCAAGGGAAAGAAAAATAAAGCCTTGACTTTGGAAAGGGTGGAAGCTTTTGGGAGGAGAGGTAGTATTTGTGTGTGTGTATACCTGTGTGTGTGTGTGTGTGTGTGTGTGTGTGTGTGTGTGTTACGTGTGGAGGTTGAAATTTAGTGTTTCCATCTGTTACTCTCCACTTTATTTAGACAGGGGCTCTTGATGACATGGAGCTCTCCCATTTATCCAATCTAGCTAGTCAGCTCGTTCCTGGGACTCCCCTGCCTCTGCCTCCCAATGGCTGGGATTATAGGTAGATATTTTAGTTAGGCTTTCAATTGCTCTAATAAATACCATGTAATTTGAAAATTCCACAGAGTCTGCTTAAAGGGCAAAGGAATTTATTAGGGGAGAAAAACTCACTGTACAGAATTGTCGCAGGTTCTGGCATGCTGGGGCCAAGTCTCATGCTGCTCTGGCTGTCTGAGTCAGTCCAGTATCCAAGTCCCACAAGGGAGCAAAGAGGAGCTGCCCACTTGCATCTCAGGTCTTAAGGGTAGCAGAGAGGCCACGCCCCAGGGGCATGTACTTCAAGGTCATAGGCAGGTAGAGCAGTTACCTGCTGCATCTCTGGGGCGGTGCTTTAAGGTCATAGAATAGCTCTCCCCTCCAACCATGAGTAAAGCAACTTGGGGAGGAAAGGGTTTTTTCATCTTACAACTCTCAGGTCACAGTCCGTCACTGAGGGAAGTCAGGGCAAAAACCTGGAGGCAGGAAGTAAGTAGAAGCCATGGAGCAGTGTTACTTCTTGGCTTGCTCAGTTTGTTTTCTTATACACCCCTGAAACACCTGCCCACAATGGACTAGGCCATCCCACATCAGTCACCAATCAAAAAAAAAAAAATGCCTCACAGGCTTGCCTACAGGCCAATATTATGGAGGCATTTTCTCAGTTGAGGTTATTTCAACTTAGATGACTCTAGCTTAACAAAAGCCTAGCCATCACAGGGGGCCACCAAACCCATCCAGCTTTTTATGTGGGATGCAGAAGGGTGAGGTGGCCAGTTACTCTCAATCCTATAAAGTTGACAAACAACATTAACTGTCATCTAAGCCAAAGCTCTTGTTTTTACAGACAAGGTAAATTAGACCTAGAAAACCAAACACAATAGACTCAAAATGGGATAACCTTTTTTTTTTTTGAAAATAAATAACTCCAAATTCTCAGATGAAAAGAGTTTAATTTCTCTTAATGGTAATTTCTCAAAGTAAGACAAAAGAAGAAAGTTCTTCATGCTCGGACCTGTTATCGTTCAAAGGATGAAGGAGAAAATTGGGGATTCTTTATTTTCACAGACCATTGAGGAGATGGTACCTAAAACAGAAGCTCTTCACCTAGCACAGATGGTGATTGCCCTGCTCAGTGTCCACTCTGTGATCTTTAGGAATGGCATATTGATTTTTCTCAGGGAATCTTTATTCTTTCACTCCGTGCCTGGGTGGGAAGGTCTTCTCCATGCCCAGTGTTCTGGTCTGTCTGAGCTAGGCATTTCCTCAAGTAGTGACTGGTTCAGGGTTGGGCTACATACAAAAGTTGATACGCATCTGGTCATATTCAGGGGACTTCTGAAAATCACTCAGTTGAGAAGAGTCTGCTGGAGAATGGGCCACTATAGAGAGTGCAATGGTTTGTCATTTATTATTATTATTGTTATTATTATTATTATTATTATTATTATTATTATTATTATTAGTGTTTGTGTGTGTCTGTGTGTAGGTGTGTGTGTGTGTGTGTGTGTGTGTGTGTGTGTGACAAATGCTATAGCCTGCATATAGAGGTGAGAACTGTTAGTTCTCACTTTCCATCTCTACATGTTGTATTAGGGTTCTCTAGAGTAACAGAACTTATTGAATGAATCTATCTCTCTCTTTCTCTCCTTGTATATATACATATATACAGAAGGGGGATTTATTACAATGACTTACAGGCCATGGTTCAGCTAATTGAATATTGGCTCAGCTAATCCAATATTGGCTAGCTGTGAATGGAAAGTTCCAGAATCCAGTAGTTGCTCAGTCCACAAGGCTGGACGTCTCAGCTGGCCTTCAGTCTATGCTGGAATTCTGAAGAAGTAAGCTCTAATGCCAGTGAAGGAATGGGTGTGCTAGCAAGGAGAGGGCAAACAGGCAAAGAGCAAATCTTTCTTCTTTCATGACCTTGTATTGGCTTCCAACAGAAGGTGTGGACCCGATTGTGTATGTCTTCCTGCCTCGTGATCCAAAATAAAGGTGTGTGTCCCCCTTCCTCAAAGGTCTGGATTAGAAGTGGATCTACTTATTTCAAATTAAGCAAACATTCCTCATAGATGTGCCCTCCACTTTTTGATTTTAGTTAATTCCAGATGTAGTCAAGTTGACAACCAAGAATAGCCATCACACATGGTTTCAGGGATTTAACTGAACCCTTGCCACCCACTTTTAATGGGAACTAGATTATTGCTGCAGATCTCTCATACATGACAGCACAAAGATGTAGCACGAATCTTAAAAGGTCTTATTAATAAAAACAAACCTGGAGCCAGGTATTGGGGTGAACACTGAAAGATCAGAGAAACAGAACAAATCACAGCTTCCTTGCCAATTCCTCAGCTGGTCCTGTTTCCTCAGACTGGAAGCCTCTGTGTCCTCATCTGAATGGATCTCAGCTGAACTGTTGCTAAAAGCCTAAAAGCTTAACCAGGCTTGTTCCTGGGTTTCATGCCTTATATACCTTTCGGCTTCCTGCCATCACTTCCTGGGATTAAAGGCATGTGTCACCATGCCTGGCTGTTTCCAGTGTGGCTTTGAACTCAGAGATCCAGATGGAGCTCTGCTTCCAGAAGGCTAGGATTAAAGGTGTGTGTGCCACCATTTTCTGGCCTCTATATCTATCTAGTGGCTATTCTGTTCTCTGACCCCAGATAAGTTTATTAAGGTGTACAATATATTGGGGAATACAATATCACCATACAAAGATTCTATGTTATACTCTGTGTTGCTCTTATATTTCCAAAAACGGGCCCCAGACCTTAGCACAACTCACTACATCATGGAGGTACCATTGAGGCCATAAAACTCAGCATATAGACATCACCTCCTGCCAAAATGAAAATAAAGACCTAATCCATCAAAGTCCATAGTTCTAGGAAAGTCTCTAAATGTGCTAACCTTGCCTTTTGGCTTCTGTAGTTCCACTTCTGGCTAACTGTTCTTGTTAACTGAAGTATGTCAGCCCAGAATATGGTAGTGTGTGTGTGTGTGTGTGTGTGTGTGTGTGTGTGTGTGTGTGTGCGCGCGCGTGCGCGCGCACGCGCGCGCGCGTTCTTAAAACCTCACCCAGAGAAAGGCTGGGGGCTACACTGGGATCCAGAAACCTAGTATATTCACCAGCCATCTAATAAAGGGTTTCTATTGGCTTACACCCCTGTCTGAGCAGTCTTCTCCAGTAGATAGTTATACTGCCCAACAGTATCTTTGTTATAAGTCTTTGTATCTTGGTTTATTAAATTAGGAATTAATCTTAAGAGGAGAGAGGGGATACTGCAACCAGGATGTAAAACAAACAAACAAACAAATTAATCTTACTGAAACAGCATTTTCCCTCATGAATTTAAATCGACTTATTTTTTTTCTATTCCTGTGTGTTGGGAGTGTCTAAACTGTTAATAATAATACATGTACACATACACACACACACACACATACATACACACACCACTTTCAAACTAAAAGACAATATAGATGATTTCTCAGAGCTGAAGGAATTGCCCCACCACTGCCAGGACCCTGATTTTCTGGTTTGTGGCTTCCTTCTTGAATGCTAGTGTGGTCCTTCTGATGGTGCTCATTTATAAAACAGTTCCATCTATGAAGACTCTGAAATGGGCTTTGTGCTCACAGAAAGGAAATGGCTCTTTGGAGAATAATGCTTGATTACTTGTTCTGTGAGTGCAAAGTTTTTCATTTCCACAAAAAAGGATTTTTAGGCTGTTTGTGAAATTTCTTTCAAAGCCTCAATGCTTGGAAACTTCCCAGGGTAATTTCCATCAGGTTTAAGAGAAAGTACTAGGTCTGCAAAAAAACGTTCACACCAAGTGATGAGGAGGTGAACCATCTCATAGACAGCATCCAGAAATGATATAGTTAATTTTGAGTGGAATAGAATATAGAATGTAGAAATATGCATAATGTGATAAATTTAACAAATGGATGATTGTCAAGGAGAAATCAATTAGTACTAGTCTCTCCCAGTTCACTCTTTCCAAGCTATATTAAATTCCTTGGTTAAAATTCATCCTAAAGAGGGACATTTGATCTTTATTGAAGAAAGAGGTTCAACATACAAGAGAAACTCATCCCATCATTCTGAATATTATTCCTTATCAGTTGATAGTCTAGATGAGGGCTTTTTAAAGGACTTTTTTAAATTTTAATTTTCATTGTTTTTATTCTTTTTTCCTCCTTTTTAATTGAAAATAGATTTTTTTCCCTTACATAATATATCCTGACTGTGGTTTCTTCTCCCTCTACTGCTCCAAGTTACTCCCCTCCTCCCCTCCTATCCAGATCCACTCCCTGTCTTGCCTTTCATTAGAAAGCAATCAGGCTTCTAAGGATAACAATAAAATATAACAAAATAAATATAATAAGATAAAACAAAAACTATCATATCGGATTTGGACAAGACAGACATGCAGAAGGAAAAACAGCCCAAGAGAAGGCATAAGAATCCAAGACTCATTCATTTACACACTAAAGAATCCCATTAAAAACACTAAACTGGAAACCATAATATATATGCCCAGGACCTGGTGCAGACCCATGCACATCCTGAGCATGCTGCCTCAGTCTCTGAGAGTTCATGTGGGCTTTGATCATGTGGATTTAGAGGATCTTGTTTTCCTGGTGTCCTCCATCTTCTTGGCTCTTAAAGTCTTTTTATCTCCTCTTCCTTGGGGTTCCCTGAGCTCTGAGGGGAGAGATTTGATGGAGACATCCCAGTAGGGCTGAGTGTTCCTACGTTTCCCACTCTGCATAATGTCTGTCTGTGGGACTCTGTATTTGTTCCCAACTGCTGCAGGAGGAAGGTTCTCTGATGATTGCTGAGCAAGGGACTGGTCATTGAGGATAGCAGAATGCCATTAGGAGTCATTTTATTGCTACATTTATTTTATTATTATCAGTTTTTTTGTGAACAGTAGTATTTGGCTTTATCCTAGGTCCCTGGGCTGTCTAGTCTTGGTTACCCGAGCAGTGCAGGTTATGGGTTCCATCTTGTGGAGTAGGCCTTAAGTCACATCAGATACTGGCTGGTTACACACCAGTCTTTGTGCCACGATCCCTATAGCGTGTCTTGCAGGCAGGACACCATTGTAGATCAAAGGGTTTGTGGCTGGCTTGGTGTTTACATTTCTCCTTTGGTAGTGTGCAGAGTACCTTCCTGTACCAAAGACACTAGACCGTAGGGTGAAGGCTGTATGCAGTCACCGTCTCTCCATGTTCAGTGAGTTGTGTGGATGTTGTCTTTAGCAATGGGGACTTGCTGTCATTTGCAGAGAGCAATCTATAATCGTTGAAATAGCCTGGATGGCTTGGGGCCCCTGGGACCCTTTTGGCCAACAACTCAATCAGGTATTACCCAATCTAGATAAGGACTTCTTAAACATTTTCCACAAACCCCTTTTCCAGAGAAATTTTTATCTGACTCTAGATTATAAAATATGTATACAAAGTGAGCAGTGGTGGAGCATGCCTTTAATCCCAGCACTCAGGAGGCAGAGGCAGGAGGATCTCTGAGTTTGAGGCTAGTCTGAGCTCTAGAGTGATTTCTAGAATATCCAGAAACCCTGTCTTGAAAAAACCAAAAGGAAAAAAAAAAGAAAAAATCTATCTACAAATCAAATGTCTACTGACAATAAATTATGAACATACTTATTTTAAAATAATTCTTTGGTCTACATGTGATTTCACCACTAATTAAAGATAAATGCAAATTTGAGTGAGATGGATGTTTTTCTAACAATGTAATACAATAGAAAGATATATGAATTTGGTACTTGCTGAGAAATAATGGTGAGGAAATTATGCCTTTGTTTGCTGTAATTACACTACTATATTTCTATCAGAACTAAAAACTTTCACGCACAACAAAAACTCTGCAATTCATAACATACAGTAGTCTCGAATCTGACTTGAATTGTTTCAGGCTGAGTTTGTTGCATGGTATGAGAGCGTGCACAATGCAAAGTGCTCATGTTGTGAGTTCAAAACTTAAGAGTGCCATGGAGTCACAATGCGACATGGGTGAGCGCTGCCAGAAACCCTTCAGATTCACTATATGTTTCCATTTTGGACTATTTCCTTGTAGAGTACTCAGAAACCTTTTACTGTTGCTGTATATTTCACAAGATCCATATTAGTCACATGATTCTACATGGGGTCGTGACCCACAATCAAGGAAACCTTGGTGTAGGTATTCCTCAGTTGTTAGGCTAGAGACACTTTGGGTTGTTGCCAGTGGGGAACGGTGCTGGCACCTAGTGGTTAAGGCCCGCACTGTTGCTAGGCATGCTACATTCACTAAGTCTTCCCATGAACGGCAACTCCCCCTACAGTCAACGGTTGAGAAACCCGAGTCTACATAGGAGTATAGGACTACGAGGATCCCAAGTTGGTAACAGAGGTGAGCAATGCATATTTTTGAGTTTAATGCATTTTGCTTTCCTTAAAATGTCAAACAAAAGCTCTCTACTCCTTTGAAGATTCCAACTAGTTGAAGTGTTGTACCATCATATCCACGATTGTGGCTTGACCTGGGGCATCACCTACTGTGAGACTCACTTCTGCTGCATGCATATCCTTATTTTCTCTTATAACTAACTAGATTATTGGTTCTCATTCACTCCTGTTTTCTGCTTGAGTGCCTGGAACATTTAAAAAGGCTCGTGTCTGCCTACTTCTCTTCCACTTCAGGGAGCGGGTAGGATGATTTTTCAGTGGGAAAAAGTGGAAATAGAAGGGTTTATTAGCATCACTCAGTACACCAGTTACTTTTCTATTGCTGTGATAAAGCACCATGACCAAGGCATCTTATAGAAGAAAGGGTTTATTTGGGCTTGCGGTTCCAGGGGGAATAAGAGTCCACTATGGCAGCAAGCAGTAAGTGTGGCAGAAGGAACAGAGGCTGAGAGCTCACACTGTGAACTGCAAGCATGAAACTGCGCACTGGGAATGAAGGGTAACAGTGGTTCTCAGCCTGTGGGTCACGACCCCTTCATGGGCCAAATGACCCTTTCACAGAGGTCACTTCAGACCACCAGAAAACACAGTTCATAACAGTAGCAAAGTTACAGTTATGAAGTAGCAATGGAAATAATTTTATGGCTGGGGGCACCACCGCATGAGGAAGTGTATTAAAGGGTTGCTGCATTAGGGAGGTTGGGCGCCACTGGGAGACTAAACTCTCAAAGCCTTCCTCCAGTGACCTGCTTCTCACTTCCCAAGCCTCCTCACACAGTGCCACCAGCAGGGGATCAAGCTCTCACAGGACCTAGACTATGGGGATATTTATCAATGTAAACACCGTGCATAGCTTCCTTTCCAAGTCCGTGGAGGAGGATATTGAATAAAAGCTGTTTCAATTTTATTACTAATTGTAGTATTGCTCAGCTATGGGAGTACGAGCAGCCCATTGCAAGTGGGAGGTCGGGAGGATTCCAAAGTTGCTAGGAATGTGGTTTGGAGTGCAGTGTGTGTGCACAGTATTTGCAGGCTGAGAAAGGAAATTATTACAAGGGGGAATGTTGTAGAACTCAAAACCCCCGTATTTTAAACTGCTTCCTGTGCTTACATGCCTCAGACTCATGTGAGAAGCTCAATAAAGATGAGCACCATAAAGACGCTCATCATAAAAAAATGCTGAAAGCCAAAGAAATACATCTTGAAACCACCATGAAAAATATCACAAAGAGAATGCCAGCAGGTTGTCTTGGTGCATACCTGCAGTCCCAGCACCAGCAGGTTGTCTTGGTGCATACCTGCAGTCCCAGCACCGGCAGGTTGTACCGGTGCATACCTGCAATCCCAGCACCGGCAGGTTGTCCTGGTGCATACCTGCAGTCCCAGCACCGGCAGGTTGTACCGGTGCATACCTGCAGTCCCAGCACCGGCAGGTTGTCCCGGTGCATACCTGCAGTCCCAGCACCTGAGAGGAAGAGGCAGGAGGGGTGCTGCAAACTCAACACCTGTCTGGTCTGCGCAGCAAGTTCCAGGCTGTACTGAGTTTCAAGACATAAATAAATGATAAGTAGGAGAGCAGGAACTTCCAACTTAACAGCCAATTTCTCACCAGAGACAGTGGACTCCAGAGACAGTGGACTGAGAAGCAGTGGACTCCAGAGGCAGTGAAATCCAGAGACAGTGGACTCTAGAGACTGTGGAATCCAGAGGCAGTAAAATCTAGAGACAGTGGAATCCAGAGGCAGTGGACTCCAGAGACAGTGGACTCCAGAGACTGTGGACTCCAGAGACAGTGGACTCTAGAGACTGTGGAATCCAGAGGCAGTGGAATCCAGAGGCAGTGGAATCCAGAGACAGTGAAATCCAGAGGCAGTGGAATCCAGAGTAAATAAACAGGTGCAAATTCTGAGTCTGTTTTTCAATCCTTTTATCAACGAACTGAGGAACCCAAAGAGGAACCCCAATTTCCTTGGTGACATAAATACTATACCAGGTGAGTTGCATCCCTGGTTGAGTGCCTTCCCTCTTAACTAACTTTTGGTTTGGTCATGTGACTTTCCTTTATTCATGCTATGTGAACATGTACAAGGCACAACACATTTAACATGAGTTTCAAGTGTGCTTCCATCACTTGGCTAGTCCTTTTCATTTCTACCACCTGCCACAGAAACAGCAAATGTCAGATATCCACTATTCCTAGATAAGATACACCCAGAGCCAGTTTAAATCTACAAGGTTGCCCAAGTCACAGACATTCCAATTCACTTTTTGATCTGAGTGAAAAACCACTATTTTTAGCCAGTAAGTCCTGGTCAGAGGTCTGGGACTAGCCGTGTGCCATGTTCACTCAAGTCTTGGTTGGTGTTATTGAGCATCCGGACACTGTCTTTAGTCCCAAGATAAACTCTTCAGAGACTACTCCACTCATTGCTTATCCATTCCCTGCTGGGATGAGTGGGATATTCCAAAGGTGGGGTGGATCTGAGCCAACTGCTTCCTTCAGTACTGGCCAGTGGGGGCTAAGGACTGATCTTTCTGAGATATAGGCAGTTACACCTAAGCAGGAAGCTGTGGTGGAAACTGTAAAAAATGGTATACAAAATGAGTTGTAAAATAGTAGAAAAATTCTTTCATAAACCAGGAATAATAAAACAAAGATCATCAACCACAAAGAGGAAAGAATCGCTTAATTTCTCTTTTCTGCATAGAAAGTATTACAAAACCATATAAAGAGTCATTCAGAGAGCATGCAGCCAAAAGTGTTGGAAGAAGATTCCAGAGGTACATCTGTTAACTAATAGAAATCCTAAAGGATGATACTTTGTGATAGTCTAGGATTTACCAACTTTAGCATTTCGTGTCATGTGTCTTTTTTGTTTCTCTTTTATTTTCTTCCTTTCTCCCCCCTCTTTCACTCCATATCTTCTTTTTCATGTTTAGTTTTTGTAGACAGGGTCATGTTGTATACCAGGATGGTCGCGAAAGTCCTTGTGTAGCCAGGATGCCCTTGAATTCATGATCCTTCTGCCTCTGTCTCCTGGGTGTTGGGATTATAGGTATGTATCATCGTGCCTGGCTCTAGGTACTTCTTTTTGCATTCTAAAGAAATTCTGAGGCTCATCTAATTTTGTTCTTCTCTTTATTTTTCTTAAAAATGAACCACACACTTGTACAAAGTTGTGGATTCTGAAACCAAGGCACTTATTTTGAGTGATGAGGGGATAGTCTGGAACCGCCAGCATCACCATAGTGTGACTCATGTGAAACTGATAGTAGAGACGGCAATGCCGAGGGATGAAACTCATTCACAGCCCAAGTCAGGGAAGAGGTCACATTTGAAGTGTTGCCTGAATTTTCAAATTTTGGGGTATTTAAAAAAGTATTTATTTATCTTACTTTCTATGTATGAATGTTTTGCCTACATGGATGTATGTGTATGTCTGGTTCCTTCAGAGTTCAGAAGATGGCATTAGATTCCTTGAACTGGAGTTAGGGATGATTTTGAGCTACTATATGAGTGCTGGGAACTGGACCCAGGTCTTCCACAAGAGGAATAAGTACTATTAAACACTGAACCATCTCTCTAGCCCCCATTATTTTATTTTTTGGGGTGGGGCCTCACTATGTATTCTCGACCGTCCTGGATTTCACTATGTAGACCAGGCTGACATCAAATTGAATTTTCAATTTTTGAGCTAGTAAGTTCCTTTAATTATTCAAGCAAGCGTGATTTGGGGGAGATCTCACATGCAATATAAAAAAACTTAATGGAAATAGTAGTGTATGAGGCATATAAAATGCAACTTTCTAAAATCTCATTCTTTCTTTCACATCCCTCTGGGTCTTATTGTGTCCTAGCTCAGATGCTCATTATTTTTATTTAAATTATTAAAATAGCATTCCTGTTTTCAAAACTCCGTGTCTAAATCATAAAGGGTTAGCAGAGTATTGTCTTCTCTCACATGGGGGTTGTGAAGATGATGTAAGAATAGGCACATATTCTCTACCACAAAGGAAGTGCTCACAGTCTCTGTTTTTTTCCAGATGCCTTATTCTCTTCATGTCTTATCACAATACTCATTTCTTCAAAAAGCCTTACTTCACATGGAGGAAAAGTGAAATTATTTTATATGATTTTCAAGGTGTTGTGCATTGTTACCGTTTGGATATGAAATGCCCTCCAAGGTCTCAGGTGTTGAAGGCATGGTCTCCAATATGTAGAGGTGATATACTCTCAGAGGTGATTAGATTGTGAAGACTCTGACCTTATAAATGTATTAAGGCATTGATAGGTTCATAGCCTAGTAGGCTATTTGGAGGAGCCCAAAACTCTAGGAGGTGGGACCTGTTTGGAGAAAGCAGGTCATTGAGGACATGCCATTGACATTATATTTTGTCTCCAGCCTCTCTTCAAGCCTGCTCACTGTCCTTCTCACCACTGTAAGGTGAGAAGCATTTCTCACATGCATTCCCCTCTATGATTGTCATACTATGGCCACAGAAGTCATGAGGCTAACTCAGGCGACCATGGGCTGATACCTCTGACACTATGTGACAAAATAAGTCTTTCTTTTAAGCTCAAGTGTGTCATCACAGTGACCAAAGCTGACTGCCACCCAGGTGTTCCACGCTTCACGCACACGGTGAAGAATTTGCTGTTTCCAGAACACACTGGGCACTTCTTGTTTTAATTGTCATGCTCTTTAACTTAGGGGCTTTCTTTGCTTTGCTTCCCAGAAGGCCATGGGCACACATTCTCCTTGCTCCTTGGTGCCTTCCAAACTCTCCAAGCTCAATTTCTATACCCCTAGCAGTGCACGCTGTCTGCGTTTCAGCTTGGCACTTACTTTACTCACCTCTTCCAAGAGGTGATGATACTTCACAAGATGTCTTCCTGCCGGTCTGCAGGTGCCCTGAAGGCAGAGGTTGCTTCTGTTTCTCCTTTGGTGACCCCCTCCCCTGTACCTTTATAATGTGAGAAGCCCAGCTTACTGGTCCTCCTTAGAGATATTTCCTTGCACAGATACCTCCCAGTGCTCTGCTTTCTGCTCATTTAAGTAGTGTTTAGTTCTGAACCATTCACCCAGACTTCTTCAGTTTCTCCCTGCTTTGGTGCTGTCTGGAACAACAGCCCTTTGTTTTTTTCTCTCCTCATGTTCTCATTTCTTCATTCAAGGCATGTTATTGAGCACTATCCAAGTGCTGAAATGATGGGGATGAAAGAGCAGACCAGGCAGTCTCTGCATGAAGTTCTTATTTCCGGTTAGGTGGGCTGATGGGAGTAGGAAAGAAACACTAAAGGAGTAATCAACTGAACAAGAAAAGCTCAGAGCATGGTAAAATATGGAGGGAATAAAGTGAGGAAATGTGGTAGAGAACAACATGGCTAGGATGTTCAGGAATCGAGTAATGAATCAGTCACTGGAAACTGGAATTCAAGTTCTCCCTATGCAGGGGTAGAGGATAAGAACCTAACAGGTTTACTTTATCCTATAGACAACAGGTTTAAGGATAAATGTTGGGGTGTCATGATTTACTGTTTGAGAAATAGCCTGGAATTTGGATTTAAAGCTACAGCTTCTTGAAAAATTACTTTATAGTAATGATATTTCCTTACTAAAATCAAATGTTACATAAGTCACAGTTTTCTTAATTCTGCTTAGACAAGAATCTGAACTCTTTAAAAAATGCTTTATGTGTATGGGTTTTGCCTGCATGTATCTGTGTGTCTGTGTATCATGTGTGTGCTGGTGCCCTAGGATACTAGAAGACTTCATTGGATATCCTGGAACTGGAGTTATAGAGGGTTGTGAGTTGCCGTGCAGGTTCTGAGAATTGAATGTTGGACTTCTGGAAGAGCAGCCAATGCTCTTAACCACCGAGCTATCTTTTCAGTCCCATAATTTGAATTCCTAAAATTAAAAAATTCTAATATTTCTGTTTTTATTTCTTTCTAAAGCCATTGACATTTCGGAATCAGTTTGTGTATACAAGTGACAAATACTCATTAATTTGTCTCCATCCTCACAGGGGCATTTCAGACTCATTTACCACACACGGTGCAGTGCTTGTTTGCCTGGGTTTCTGGGATGTAGCCTTATGCCATATCTGCCATTTGCCATTGAGAGCTTTTGGTGCATACTTCTCTAAACAGGACTTTTGTTCCTGCAAAAGTGTGGCTATGTGATTATTAGCAGCTTAAAAAGGTGTTTTTGCAGATTTCTTGCCTCCTCCCTCAGCTTTGTCATCTGTGCTAATGGGAAGGGGGGAAATTTAATGAAGACAATTCACCACAAATTTTTAGCAAAATAATAATAATAATAAACTTGATTCCAGAGCATCACAAATTATAGAATCTCAGAAATGAAAAGGACACCGAAAGGTCATCTGCCTCATCTTCCTTCATCCCGACAGGTTTGTGCTTCTCATTACAGCTGGGTGAGTATCTGTCCTAATTCTGAAGACATCCCAGGAAGACGATCTCACCAGCTCTGTCCTTATCGCTAATGTGAGACATCCATCACCATGGAGGCTCTGTCTAAAGGGCACCTAATTTCCTCATCCTGAGGTTTATTCTCATTTCCTCTAAATGTGTCTTCATTGATGACTGCTGAAGAGTCCTGTTAACCAACTCCTTTCGAGAGACAGGATTGAAGGAGATAGCAGAGTCATAGAACTCTTAGGACAGTATCTGGCATACAATGGACTCTCAAAGCCCATCAGCTGCCACAGCAATAATTACTACAGAGGAAGGTATTGAGATCTTTGCTCCTTGTAGTGATAAAGACACTTTAAATGCTCAATGGATTAGCTCCTCTGATTGCCGGAGGTGGTTGATTTAGGTGCTGTATATAAAGGCTGTGTCTTGAGTCAATGGA